TCTGCTGCGAGAATGGGTGTTCTTTTGCTCCTCTGCTCTTCTTCCCACCGACTCGAGCTTGCAAGTCGCGAACCTGTGCCAGTAGTTGTTCTAACGTCTCGTCCCTCGCCTGTGGGTTAATAGTTCGAATGGAGGATTCTTCCTCGTCCACCCTTCTGTTCTGTTGTACATTTGACTGGGCTTGTTGCTCGCCACGCGGCTGCTGCTCGACTCGAGGCAGGTACTCGACACGGGGCTGTGGCTCGACCCGGTGTGGGTACTCGACTCGAGGCTGCTGCTCAACCTGCGCCATCTGCTTCATCTGGGCAGCCACGGCTTCAGCAATCATCTTTTGCATTTCACTCCTCGTCACTGTCAAGGTCTGCTCCTCGACGCGGGGTTGTGTCTGCTCCGGTATCTCTTGTATCTGTTTTCCCTCTCGTCGAGACATCTCCGCTGGTTCCTTCTCTCCATCTGGGTTAGGGCTTTAACTTGTCCCCGCCTGGGTCAACACTTGCAGCTTCGCGCCGGTTGGAGTGGCAGGTGTTTCTCCGCCCAACGTCAGTCCTGGTGGTGGAAGTCCTCCAAATGGTGGCATCCCCATCATCTGCATCACAGGGTGTTTGGTGGTGGAGAGCGGTGGTGGCCTCTTGTCCATCCACGTCCCTCTGAACTCCTCGTTCAAATTCCTCTGCAAGCCCTCCTTCTCCGCCATCAGCAAACAGATCGGAGCTGGGTGTGAAGCTCTTCCTTCCTTCAAGAACTCCCCATAGACGGCGCCAATATGATGGGTCTACTTCCGGATCTGGAGTGAACCGGTTGTTGTGAGCTCAGATCTGCTTGAACCGCTTCCCAATCGTTACTAGACCGCGAGATTCCTGCAAAAACTTAACGCCGGAGGTGTTTCCGGCGTAGAGCCTCCGACGCTCGAGTCAGTATCAGAGTGATGAAGAGATGCTACGCAGGAGCTAAGGGAGAGAATGGGAATGAATGAGAGTTAGGGTTTGGGTTACCTCACCTCCTTTATATAGGAGTGGATACTTACTTGAAGTGCCCAAAATGCCCAAGTCGGTGGACCTATAAGGTCCAAAATGCCCTGGGCGATTCGTCTCCCCTTGTTGCTGAGTCATCACAAGATTCCTTCTTATCCTTTGTAATGTGTAGAGCTTCGGATATGTTGTAAGTGTAGTGAATCGTCTTCACTGCTTTGATCCTCGAGATGTACAGAGTCGATCTCGAGAGTTAAGAGGTCGACTTATGAATATGTGCAATTTCGGAGGCTACGCTTGGTTTAACTCTGTGGTGAAGTCGTCTTCAGAGAGTCGTCATAGTGGAGTCGACTAATGGAAGTCGACTAAGGATACTGGGATGCCCAGGCGTTATGCTCCTGCTGTCCTTCTTCCATTGATGTCGACTAGTGAAAGTCGATAGACTAAGGTCGACTTGCGAGAGTCGACTAGACCAATTTCTGCCTCTTCTCGATTGCTCTTGGTAGAATCGACTTTAGGGAAGTCGATTTGAGCATGTCGACAGAGTCGTGTCGACATGCAAGTTGTTCGAGTGGGTCATAGGTCGAGTAGGGAGCCTCTGGACCAGGGGTTATCCTTATGTGGCTATATCACAACAATATCTCCAAGTTGAATTAAAATAATATAATATAATAAAAATAAAAAAGCAAAAGGAAAAAAAAAAAAAGAAAAAGTAGTAAAATTTAATGTCGTATACTGCATGATAAGTCAAAAGAACAATTATAGAAAAATTGAATTGTGAAACTAAATATATGAGCGTGACTAACAAACAACATGAAATTAATGATTAACCTACCCTCGAATGAAAATTTATTGTTTTCAAGTGCAATAATGTTTTTAGGACAAATCACTCAGTACACGCGAGAGGGTCCGAACCAAGTGAAAGCGGTTGGTGTGGAGAGCCATTTGGACTATTCCCGGTTGAGTACCGGCGGGCCTTATGGTTGTTATAAAAATAGAAACTAGTATGGTAGAAAAGAGTACATTATAATATTAGTTATTATATGATTATGTTATTTGATGTAAAACTTCAAATTGTAATATAATATAACAAACCAGTTTTCTTCAAGATTGTCCAACTTACAATATACAAAAATTGTAACATGGGTTTGCAGTGTTTTATGTATAATTAACTGACTGATTATTTCATATAAATTGTTTTATTTTATTTTTTTTCTTCAAACTTTACTATTACATCTTGATTATTAATTTTAGTTCTTAATTATAATTGTTTTTATATTTATTTTATTTGTCATGCTTTCCATTTCATTGATGTTGGAAATTTCAAACATTCATATTCATAATTAAAATATTCTTTATTGTTTTATCGTTTAATGTAATTCCTATTTTTTTTTTTAAATATGCTTTTAAAATATTGTGTTAGTTTAAACAGCTGTTTATTTTTAAAATTTTAAATTGTTTGAAAAATATTAAAAGATTCGAGTTGTTATAGTGGGGTAGTCATTGTTTCTTTAAGGGAAAACATGAGGTTACAATAGACTTTATAGCTCATTTTTTGTCTAGACCACATTGAATAAACTCAATTGAAATTGTATAAATGTAGCTCAATAAACTAGGATTAATAAAATTTTGGCCTTAATTTTTTTTTTCAAACACAACTATAAAATTTGGAAGGTTAATTCATTCAAAGTAATATATTTTGATATATAATTGTCCATTTTTGGGTAAGTAAGTTTCAAAAATTTGTTTTCACATGTTAAGATACTTATAATTTTAATTTAGAGTTTAAATTTAACTCATGATCATGCCATGCTTTAACTTTTCGATTCAGAAAAGTATTGTATTCTTTGGCTTAGTTAACAAGATATTAAAGAGAATTTAATTATCAGTATAAAAATTCATAGCTAAAATACCGTACAAATATTTTTTTATGCAAAACTATGAAAGGAGTCACTCACTTGTGAGAAATGCTTAGTCAAGTCTTCTTTGTTAGAATATCACTTGTGAGTTGTCCCACATCGTTCATATATGGAAAATAGACTCACCTTATAAGACTAATGAGCTACTCCTCCTTCCACCAATTGGTTTTGGATTGGAACCTCATTTGGCTTCATATGGGCTTTTCCCTTCTTTCACGGTGTCCTTCATGGTAGTGGGCCAGCCAACCTTATAAGACTAATGAGCTACTCCTTCTTCTACCAATTGGTTTTGGGATGGAACCCCATTTGGGCTTCATATGGGTTTTTCCCTTCTTTCATGGTGTTCTTCATGGTAGTGGGCCAGCACAAAATTGGTGGAAGGAGGAGTAGCTCATTAGTAATAAGGTGGGTCTAACAACTCACAAGTGATATTCTAACAGGCCCCCTCACTTGTGAGTCCTTCGAAAGCCCAAGCCCTAACCCTACTACAAACAGGCTCCAATACAAGTGATATTCTAACAAGCCCCCTCACTTGTGAGTCCTTCGAAAGCCCAAGCCCAACTGGGCTAGGTGCCCCAAGCCCTAACCCTACTACAAACAGGCTCCAATAAACGGGTACGTGGGGGGATAAACAATGGGTACGTCATCACACGGTCCAAGATAGAACCGGCTCTGATACCAATACAGAAACTGGGGGAAATGGGTGCTGGCCCACTACCATGAAGGACACCATGAAATAAGGGAAAAGCCCATGAAGCCCAAATGGGGTTCCATCCCAAAACCAATTGGTGGAAGGAGGAGTAGCCCATTAGTCTTATAAGGTGGGTCTATTTTACATATATGAACAATGTGGGACAACTCACAAGTGATATTCTAACATTCTTTATTACTTTTTATAGTCGGAATGTCGAACAAAGAGAGAATCGGAGGAAGAAATATCTTCAATTTCATAAAATAAAAGAATGAATGATTTTGTACAAAAAATAGATTGACTAAAAAATTCCTTGTATTTGATATAATTCTAGTGGTAATATTGTAAACACACAAGTGTTTCAATAAAAAAAACTCTAATCAACCAAAACTAATTCAAACGCAATAAAGACTCTATCGTACATTAAAATCCTATATTCAGATTTTGTAGTTTAGGTATTGGACTTTCTATTACGATATGATAGTAATTTTTACAATATACATATCCAACAATAATATTCTTCAAGGTTGAATTAAAATTAATATAATATAATAAATTAAAAATGAAAAAGGAAAAAAAAAGGAGTAAAAAATTTAATGTGGTGTATTGCATGATAAGTCTAAGAACAATGTTGGTACTTAATTGTAGAACTAAATATATGAGCATTATGAACAATTTTCATGAAATTAATGATTAACCTATCCTCCAATGAAAATAAAAAGTTTTAGAGTGCAACACCATTTTCAAAACAAATATCACAGTACAAGCAAGAGGGTCCAAACCAAGTGTGAAAAGTTTGGTGTTGATAGAAAAGAGTTCATTATAATATTAGTTATTATATAATTATTTTATTTCACGTAAAAACATTAAATTTTAATATTATATAACAAGTCAATTTAGTTCATGATTATCCAATCACAATATACAAAAATCTGTTATGTGGGTTTGTAGTGGTATAAGTAGACTAGTTAACTGAGTGAGTATTTAGTATTAATTGTTTTATGCCTTTTTCACTATTACTTCTTGATCAATAATATTATATTTTGATTATAATTTTTCTATATTTATTTGATTTGTCTTGCTCCCCATTACATTTATGTGTGTGTGTAATGCTGACGAAGTGTATAATATTAGGTTTCATCTTTGTCATGCGTTGGAAAGTATATTTAAGTTCTGTACAGAAAAATTATGTCACTATAGTTGAGAAGATAACATGGGAAGTTTTAGAATTTTCGCTTAGATAAAATGAGTTGAATTATGTTTTTTAAATTTGGTTGATACCAGTAATATTTCTCGCCATTGTGAAATTGAGCCAATTTAAAAAAATAGAGGAAGAAAACACAATTACATTAAATAAAATTAATTAAATTTCAATCATAATTAAAAAATTATTATCACAAATGATATTATCCATAAAAGTGGTTACGTTATCAATAACTATTCAAAATAATAAGAAATGTGCTATTTAGACGATAAAAATAAAATATAAGCATTCAACAAAAATTGAAAAAAAAAAATATATATATATATATATATATGTAGTAATATAAGATAAATGACAATTTTATCAGTAAATTTTGTGGAACTATAAATCAAATTTCAATAACTAATTAGATTGCAAATATTTTGCCTTAACCAAAAAGATTTCGAATGAATAAGATTAACCTAGGGAATGAAATTTTCTATACCAAATTCTCAAGTACGTATTTTTTTGAAATAATGTTTTAGCTTTCAATATATACGACACATTTCATCATGTAATGTACTTTTTTTGTTTTATTAATTAACATAATAATGTAAAAAATGAATAGACCTTATAATCATATAAAACAATTTTTTCAAAATCACAATTTTTTTATATAAAATATGTATCACGTGCATCGCACGTGCTCTTAACTAATTATTATAAATTACAAAGCCGCATTTATTGCTTAAGTACAAAATATACCTATCTTTTTTTTACCTTGAAAAATAGAAATAGTAAAAAAAAAATGTGCTATTTAGACACTTGGGCAATTCTTGGCTGAGTGACAGCGAGGGTTATGGTTGTGATAAACACCCAAAAAATATAAAAAAAAAATAAAAAAAAAACTAATAATTGTATAAAAGAGTTCATTATAACATTAGTTATTATATGTCTATTCTATTTCACGTAAAATTCTAAATTTTAATATAACAGAACAAATCAATTTACTTCAAGATTATCCCATGGGTTTGTAGTAGTTTAAGTATTATAATTAACTGAGTGACTATTTAATATCAGTTATATTTTTCTCCAAGTTCACTATTACCTCATGATCATTAACTTCATATTTTTATTATAATTTTTTTATATTTATTTGATTTGTCATACTGGAAATTTCCAACATTCATATTAAATATTTTTGTATTGTCTTATCTTTGTTTGGATTTCCTATTTTTGTAAATATACTTTTTAAAATATTGTGTTAGTATTTAATATTTCGTTGGTACCTTGTGCTGGGCTCGGTTACTCTGTTGGGGAAGGGTTGTGCTTGTTCGTTTAGTTTTTGTTTGATTAGTTCTTCTTATTGTGTCCGTTGTTATTTAGGATTCGTGTTTTTGGTTTGAGCCGTTGCCCTTTGTGCGCCAGAATGGGAGTGGACATTATCTTTTTAGGATCAGCTCCTGTCTTTATTCTCCTATTGGGAGCTTTGTAGTTTTTCTTAGTGTTTGTTGTATTTGTTGTGTAGTGAGTCTTGTTTTTGGTTTCTACCGTTGCTATTGTCGGGATTCTAGGCAGTCGTCAGACCTGACCTCACAGTTTATTCAACTTTTGGTTGTATTATTATTCAACTACGGGTTGTATCTTTACATATTTGTGCGTTTTGTTACATAATATTCTTTATCGTTCCGAAAAAAAAAAATGTTTATATTTAAATTTTTATATAGTTTGAAGAATAAAAAAGGAATCGAGTTGTTATAGTGAGGTATTCATTGTTTCTTTAAGGGTAAACATGAGGTGAGAATATCATGAACTAACTTTGTAGCTCATCTTTTATCTAGAACTACCTTGAATAAATTCAAGAGAAATTGTATAAATGTAGCTCCATAAAATAGGATTAATCAACTTTGGCCTTAATTTTTTTTCAAGCACAATTACAAAATTTGGAAGATCTATTAATTCGAATAAGTATATTTTGATATATAATTGTCCATCTTTTGGGTAACTAAGTTTCAGAAAAAAATTTAAAAAATTGTTTTCACATGTTGAGATATTGATACTTTAAATTTAGAGTATAAATTTAACTCATGATCACATTGATAGATGCCATGACTATAACTTTTCGATTCATAACAGTATTGTATTCTCGAACTTAGTTAGCAAGATATTAAAGACAATAGAATTATTCGTATCCAAATTCATTGTTAAAATACCGTACAAATTAAAAGGATTCAATCCGCAAAAATCCAATTTTGGTCCGCTAACTTGTTCATTGTCCATTTTTGGTACACTATCTTTCTCCTCATAAAAATGGTTCATTATGTTACACTTTTCATCAGTTTTAGTACGCTACTCCAGTTGGCGAGATTACAACATTACGTGGATCAGGATTGGAACTACGTGGAGGGATAAGATATTGACGTGGTAGGATAAAAATCTGATTTGGCATCTCGTAATCCCGGACCACGGGATTAGTGTACTAAAACTGATGAAAAGTGTAACATAATGGACTATTTTTTATGAGGAAAAAGATAATGTACCAAAAATGGACAATGGACAAGTTAGCGGACCAAAATTGAATTTTTGCCGGATTCAATCTATAAAATATGCACTCATCTATTACGCTTGTGATTCTTCACTCATTTGCCACATCAAAACCAAATTATTATTATTATTATTATTATTATTATTATTGTTATTATTATTATTATTATTATTATTATTATTATTATTATGTAGTGATGAGATGTACAAATATTTTTTTATGCAAAACTAAGAAAGGAGTCATTCACTTATGAGAAATGCTTAGTCAAAACTTCTTGATTATTCTTTATAGTCGAATGTCGAACAATGAGAAAATCGGAGGAAGAAGTATCTTCAATTTTACAAACTGAAAATTAGTTATCTACAATATTAAGGAATGATTTTTGTGAAAAAAAAAAATAGTTTGACTAAGAAGTCCTTATATTTGATATAATTTTAATAGGAATATTGTAAAAACATAATTTCAATAAAAAAATCTAATCAGCCAAACTAATTTAAACACAATAAGGATCTATTCATATAATAAAACCCTGTAAACAAATTTTGTAGTGTAGGTATTAGACAATATAATAGTAATGATTACAATTTTGATATCCAACAGTAGTATTTTCCAAGTTGAATAGGTATTAGACATTCTTTTACAATATAATATTAATGATTGCAATTTTGATTTCCAACAACAATTTTTTCCAAATTGAATTAAAATAATATAATATAATGAAGTAAAAACGAAAAAAGAAAAAGAAAAAGGAATAAATTCAATAATGTGTATTTCATGATAGGTCAAACGAACAATTATAGATAAATTGAAATGTAAAACTAATTATGTAATTAAGTATGACTAGTAATTATCATGAAAATAATGATTTTACATATCCTCGAATGCAAATTAAAAGTTTTGAAGTGCAATACTGTTTTTAGAACAAATCACTCAGTACACGTGAGAGGATCCGAACCAAATGAAAGAGGTTGGTGTGGATAGCCACTTAAGCTATTCTCGGCGGGGCTTATGGTTGTGATTAAAAAAAAAACTAATAGTTGTTGAAAAGAAATCATTATAACAATAGTTACTATATGGCTATTTTAGGGAAAATTTCAAAATTAGTCTTACAGGTATAAGAGGGTGACAATTTTGGTCCCGACGGAATGCAGAAAATATGAATAGTCCCACAACTTTTAAAAAATGATCAAAAGTAAGACTTTTTCGCCGGATTTACTATTTTCGGCCCGGAACGTCACGTGGCATCCGACGTGTTCATATTTTTTTACAAGTTGTGGGACTAGTTTTGAATATTATGCATTCCGTCGGGACCAAAAATGTCACCCCTCTATACGTGTGGGACTAGTTTTGAATTTTTTCCTATCTACGTCGGATGCCAGCGTGTAAAAAATAAGCCACGTGTGAGCCACGTGGCGCTCCGGGCCAGAAATAGTAAATCCGGCGAAAAAGTCCTACTTTTGATCATTTTTTAAAAGCTGTGGGACTATTCATATTTTATCCATTCCGTCGGGACCAAAATTGTCACCCCCATATCTGTGGGACTAATTTTGAAATTTTCCCACTATTTTATTTCATATAAATTTTAAATTTTAAGATAATAACAAATCAGTCTACTTCAAGATTATCCAACTTACCATACGCCAAAAATTGTTATATAGGTTTGTGGTAGTTTAATCAAGCTAATTAACTGAGTGCGTATATAGGATTTTATTTTTTTCAAGTTCAATATTACCTCTCGATCATTAATTAAAGACTCTATTGTACATTAAAATCCTATAATCAGATTTTGTAGCTTAGGTATTAGACTTTCTTTTACGATATGATAGTAATGTTTACAATATAGATATCGACAAAGACTCTATTGTACATTAAAATCCTATAATCAGATTTGTAGCTTAGGTATTAGACTTTCTTTTACGATATGATAGTAATGTTTACAATTTAGATATCCAACAATAATATTATTCATGGTTGAATTAAAATTAATATAATATAATGCAATAAAAATGAAAGGGCATTACTATTTACCGTCCCCTATTACTAGTCACCGCTCCCTTGGACGATTTTTCCATTTTCATTTTTTCAAAACATATCAGAGCAAAGTGTACGGCGAAATGTCTTCAAATTTCGAGGTACGAATTTTCACCGTCCGGTTGGCGATCGCGTACGGCTTTTAGACCGTCCGACCGCCGAAACCGGACGGTCCAAAAAACGTCCGGTCGGCCGGTTCGAACGACCTAAAAGCCATACGCGATCGCCGGCCGATCGGTCTAAAAGGTGTCCGGCCGCGAGGGCCGGTCTTGACCGGACATTTTCTTTTTTTAAATAATATTATTATACATTATTATGTTATATATTCGAAATAATTATGTTATAAATTGAACGTTCGATATTATCGTGTTAGGAGTTAGAAATTATTATGTTGTACAGTAGATTTGATTATGTTATAAATTGGACGTTAGATATTATCGTGTTAGGAGTTACAAATTATTATGTGCGTACGGCTTTTAGACCGTCCGACCGCCGAAACCGGACGGTCCAAAAAACGTCCGGCCGGCCGGTTCGAACGACCTAAAAGCCGTACGTGATCGCCGGCCGGTCGGTCTAAAAGGTGTCCGGCCGCGAGGGCCGGTCTTGACCGGACATTTTCTTTTTTTAAATAATATTATTATACATTATTATGTTATATATTCGAAATAATTATGTTAT